CTCGATAAATGTTAACTGGATAAGTAAATAATTATCTGTTTCTGTTGGTCTGTAGTAAGAGGCAATTGTCATAGTTTTTTGTTTGGAAGAGGTTTGTTTGTTCCAAAGAGAATATCATACAAAAGAATGATCTGTAGGCAGAGAAATAAAGAAATCTAGCACAAGGTATGGAGAGACAGTTATCAGCTGAGACCAGTGTATGTCTCTGTCTCTTTCACTATGTCTTTTGGCAGGAGGAACACTAACTTTCCAAAATGCATATTCTTCCTTCTTGTTACGTTAAGTGGTTTTCCAGATAGCCTGACTCATGCTACCAGAGAACTAATTTAGTGAAGTTTATGTCAAGTCCTACATGCAGAATAAGTAGTGGTTTCACTGTGGGAGATGGGGTGTATAATAAGAATCTAGAGAGCAGAAAAGAGGTACCCACCTCCTTGCAGGCTTGGCTTCAAGTAAGAAAGCTTCAGAAAAGAATGAGTGTGAACTAAAAGGATGGACTCTTGTGATTGGGAAGAAAAGAGCTTGCAAAACCTTCTGTCTGTAAGTATGCTTATAACTTGATAACATACGCTTTTCTTAGAAGGCTCTTTTGAGCCCACTGAGAGCTGACTAGTGATTTTTAAAAATATATATATATACATTCCTCCAGTGCTCCAATTAGCTTAAACATCTTTATCTTCAGTGGTGCTTCCATTGCATTTTCAATATTTCATAGACTGCAGAGATGCTGGAATGTATGTATATATGCCCTCAGAATGGTCTTTTGTTACGGCATCCTGAAATTTGTGTGTTTTCAATAGAGATGGAAGTTTGTCCCGGGCGATGTAAATCACATTACCTTGCTGTGGGCATTCCAGGACTCCTGCGAAATCTCCAAATGTCCAAATGGTTTCAGCTCCTGTAAGCAGCCACAGTTGACAAAGCAGAACTCATCCAAATTTCTCTGCTAATCTGTAGAAGAGAGAAAAGGAAGAACTGCTAGTGCGTCATCTGCCTTGGTTAGCAAACAAACACGGTTAGCTTTTTAAGCCCAGAAAATTCAAAGAACCTGCAAGTTATCTCTCTCATGTTTTTCTCAGCAGCATTTCATCTTTCTATAGGTTATATACTATTTTAGATGTTACAAAGCATTTGAAGGGAGCAATTCTCATATATAATATATTCATCGTCCCTTTAAAAAATCAAGCATAGGCAATTATTGTTGCATAGAATAATAACAGACAAGTAAGATGACTCTTTAGAGGACAAGAGGCTTGTAGTTAGAGATGTGCTATTTTTGGTATTGCCAAAATGGTATTTTTAGAACCTTTCTGTGCTAGAATATCTGTGTATTTATCATTTTGCCAGGTGAATATGTTTTAGTTCTTTGAAATTACAAAAGTAACATATGCTCATTATTACCAGTTAAAATATGTAAGGCGGTACCAAAAAATGGTTAATATTCTCCTTGTTCTCACAGCCCCATCTAGGATTTTTATTCTTTCTACAAAGTTGAAATTACATGATATTCATGACTCCGCCCCCTACGCACATGCACACTGTAAATATTACTTTTTAAACTTGTTTCACAGTGTGTCATGGACACATCCCGTAAGTAGATCTAAGCAATGTGTTTCTTTCAACAGCTGATAACATATGCAGCCTTTTCCACCTTTTTTCCCTTCATGGGCTTGTGGATTATTTCCAGTGCTGCGCTAAACCTCCTTGCAATGGGAAGAGCCCAGTTAGAATCACCCATGGGCCAAATGCTGCTGCTGGAGACCCCTAAATCGCAGACACATTCTGTCGGGAAGGGCAGGCGACTTTCCAGCGTAGCGAGCGTCTTCTCCCCGTGGCCCTGTGGGGCTTGCTGGGTGAGTTGCTCGTTTGTGGAGCATGACATCCTGGGCACTCAGTTACCGCCCGGCCCTGAAATGAAGATGGTGCGAGCGAGAGCTGGGAAATGACCAAGCAAAGCTCCAGAGAAAAGTGGCCTGTTGCTTGGCCTCCCTACATATCTAGTTCTAGTTTTTAACTTAAAGGGGTAGTTAATGAGTTAACTTGGACAAAATTTAGTTTTGTGATGAGCTTGTTTCCTAACACCAATCCATAAAAAAGAGCTAATTTAGAAAAATACTAAAGGCAAAAGCAAAAACTTCCAAAACAGCAGCCAGCAACAAAGAAACCTTGTAATAAACTTGGGGCCCAGAATCTCTCCTTCCATGTTGATGACCTATTCTATAGGCCACATTTTGGAAACTTTCTTTCATGTACAAATGCTAACTCGATACTTCTTTAACACATCCCATCTTGCTGAAAAAGTTTACCAATTTTATTTAACAAATTATATAGCATATAATAATTTTTTATATCTGTTACCTTCAATTTTAAGATTTGGGAGTATCAGGCCAGTAGTAATCAAGGTATGCATGGAGCTGCTCCTCCAAGCTTAGCATAGTTAATTTATTTGTAGTTACACAGGAAGATGTTTCACAGAAATAAACATTTGATCATGGCCATGGCTGCTGATGTGATGTGAATTGGCTAAGAAAAGAGTAGAGGCCTGCAAATGGGGCCTGTTTCCACACTGGTGTCAGGTACTTCTCACAGGCTAGTGATCTCACAAGTAGAGAAGAGATCTCTAGTTGAAATTCATGTAGAATGGAGGTTGTCACAAGATAACCAAACATATATATATTTCCCTATTTAAAAAGTATTGAAGGGCAAGATCTAAAGTAGCTGTTGTGTGGCTATTTATACATATCTCAGAGATTTGGAAAGTTAATTTTGTGGTAGTCTACGTCACCTTGCTTTCAGAGTAAACTGAAACTGGATGCTAGATTAGCAGCTGTGCAGCCCTAAATAAGTCACTTAACTTCCCTGAGCCCCAGTTTCCACATCCACATAGTGAGGGGGATTCCTTACTGCCTCCTAGGATTATTGGGAGATTTAAATGAGAATAATAGACATTGAATAAATGCTGGCTTCCTTCTTAGAAAACTTAAGAGGTCTTCTAGTAGGAAGATATTTCTTGTTGGGATCAAAAGGGATACATAGGAGAGTGGTACTGTGAATAAAACTTAGTGAGACATGAACAATGACGCCAATAATCAACCATATGGTTTTATAGTTACAAAGAGTTTTTATATCCCTTATCTCATTAGTTTTCCGCAAGAATTCTGTGAATCAGTTAAGGCTGTTTTTTTAAATAGCGACTCAGAGAAATTAAATGAATTAACCAATATCACCTTGTAAGCCTGTAATGTTCTTTTTTACTAATAGTCCAGTGCTCTTTACATTAACCTGTACTGACTATCAATGCCCAGATAGTTAGCAAATATTAAACAGCTAGAAGTCTAATTGATTTCAAAATTGTGTCTTAAAATCTAGCAGTGTCCTCAAATTTTCCATAATTCCTAGAAAGATGAAAATATCTGGAGAAGAAACCTAGAATACTCCAGGAATCCTCAGGCCAACACTAAGCTCAGTGTGCATATCTGAGGGCTATGGACCAAAAGAGTTACATTTTTAATATCAAATGCACATGTTTTGTGACTATTTCCCTTCATTTTTAGCATTTCCTGAATTGAAGTTAACTGATTGGAAAGGGCTCCTTTTGAGAGAAGTTTAATTGGCTTTGCGTATGTAGGCCAAGGTTCACGTATTTCTGCCCTCAAGTGCCACAGTGATGATTATCTCCATCCTTCGGTTGACACTCAGCACACTCTATGTTATGTTATTATCTGTCCTTGCATGTAAACCTTCTTTCTTCCCTTTGAGAATGCAGGTCCCCTAAAAACAGAGAATATGTCATTCCTCTGTACTCTCAATGCCCCTCTGAGAGCCTAATACTTAATAGCTTCTCAATAAATGCTTGTGCCTGCTCCTGCTGCGTTTGACATGCTGTTCAGTGTTGACTTCTCAGGAAAGATTCGTTAGCATCATGTGATACAGAGAACATTTTGACAGTTGCCAGAGGGGAGGGGTATTGGGGGGCTGGGTGAAAAAGGTGAAGGGATTAAGAAGCACAAATTGTAGTGACAGAATAGTCATGGGGGTGCAAAGCACAGCACAGGGAATACAGTCAATAATATTGTACTAACTATGTATGGTGTCAGATGGGTACTAGATTTATCGGGCTGATCACTTCATAAGTTATATAAATATCTAGTCATGTGGTTGTAAGCCTGAAACTAATATATTATTGTACATCAACTGTAATTAAAGATTTTTTTTAAAGATAAAAAAAGAAAGAAAATATCATATGAAAGAGTTTTAGAATATGCACCATCTACTGCCTCCCTCCCTATATAGTGAGTGATCTCTTGAGAATCTTTTTCATAGAGACAGACAGTTGCTGGGAAGATAAAGGATGCTTTAGGAAAACACTAGTAATTACCATGTCCACCTGAAGGCAGGAAAAGGTAAAACTGGTCTTGCTCTCCCCAACATGAACATGCGGCATTGAAAGTTAGGTCTGAGAAGAGAGCAGATAGAAGGGCACAGCTGTCACTGAGGGGGAAAGCCTTTGACATAAAGTTGAATTTCTTATTTCTAAAGAGTGGGAGCAGCATGTGTTTTGTTTGCTGCTCACAAATTATAGTGATTTGGTTTCAGACTGAGCAAGTACCCAGAGCAAACCCTGGCAGGCAGAGTCTGTACGGGAGTGGCCAAACAAGTCAGTGTTCACTTCCCTCCCAGCCCTCTTTGGCTGATCCGTCCATAGAAAAGCAGAACAAAAGGCAAGAATTGCTGCACCCTAAAACATCCCAATGGCTCTTGTGGCTCAGGGGTTATTTATAGCAGTCTGGCCCACACTGAGAACTTCCTGCTCTGTTCAGCGATTGTGCAAATAAAACTCCAGCATCAGAACAGTAGACAGATGCAGAGTGTGATCGGTGATTAGGTTCCCAAGCCTGTTGTGTTTGTGATGAAGCCCTGCCTTTCAGCCGCCGTTGGGAACATTTACCTCAGAATAGGCTCATCTTCTTTTTCACCTGCACATTCTATTTGTAGATGTTGCTATGAGGACAGATTTGCCAGAAATGACTGATGTGGAGCCTTCGGTCACCAATTTTGCATCTTCGGCAAGGGCAGGCCGCCGGAATGCCATCCCCGACATCCAGGGGTCAGCTGTGACAGGCGAAACTTCCAAGTTGCCCCTCAAACTGGAGGCCCTCTCCATAAAGGAAGGTAACAGTAAAATTCTCTTAAAATCAGGAGCACTTCTCAATCGATTCTTTCCTGTGGAACAGTCTCCCTGTTTAAGTACTTTTTCTTTCTAACTGTTCACGAAAACCTTTCAGCTTTTGTTTGAGGCTAAGTATATCTCTCAGGCTCTCCGATAGAGGACAACTTCATCTTTTATCTCCTGGCGTGTATGTGGAAACTGAACATTTATTTATTCCTTGGACTTATTCATTGTCATGCACAGTGCTGGTGATTGGGAATAAGAGGTGAACAGATATTATCCTTTCCCTCAATGAACTAACACAAATTTATTGAGAAGTACTCAGAAATAACCTAATTTTTCTTCTGCCACCCACTAACAAATCACTTTGGAAGCTTCTGCTAAACTTCAGTAATCTATAAACTTAGCTATTTATCTTAGAGGAAGTTTATTATCAACTAGAGATGAGATCTTTAAGGAATTTGTATGAAAGGTGATCATTCTTCAACCAGTAGTTGAATTAAGAAAAAAAGGAGAGCTTTCAAGTCAATGAAGGAAAATCCTGGTTCTTTCTCCCCATGGCTTACACACAGTTCATAGATTATGCAGAACTTAAGCTTTCTGAAAATAAATATGATAATTCGATAAAGGTTTTAAAAAATAACTTCATTTAAAAACATTCAAAGAGGTTAAAGATAATTTCAGTTCCAGGTCTTTACCAAAATACTTGTGCCCCATTTTATTTATTTATTGAATTCATTGGGGTGACACTGGCTAATAAAACCATGCAGGTTTCAAGTGCACAATTCTATAACATCATTTGCATACTGCATCTTGCGCTCGTCACCCAAAGTCAAGTCTGTCTCTACCGCCATCTGTTTCCCCCTCTACCCTCTCCTGCCTCCTCCCACCCCTCTTTGCCTCTGGCTTTTACCACACTGTAGTCTGTGTCTATGTGTGGGGTTTTTCTTCTTTTTAATCCCTTCACCTTTTTCATCCAGCCACCCAACCCTCCTCCCCTCTGAGGGACATATAGCTGTCTCTATATGTTCTCTGTGTCTATGATTCTGTTTCTATTTTGTTAGTTTATTTTGTTCATTAGATTCCACGTATAAGTGAAATTACTTGGCACTTGTCTTTTTGTGACTGACTTATTTCACTTAGTATAATGCTCTCCAGGTCCATCCATGCTGTTGCAAAAGGCAAGATTTCCTTCTTTTTTACGGCCACATAGTATTCCATGGTGTAAATGTCCCACAGCTTTTTTATTCACTCACCTACTGATGGGTGCTTCAGCTGCTTCCAGATCTTGGCTGTTGTACATAACACTGCAGTGAACATAGGGGTGCATATATTCTTCCAAAACAGTGTTTCGGGTTTCTTCGGATATATTCCCAGAAGTGAAATTACTGGATCATCCCACCTTAAATGTCAGGGTGGACTCCGTGTATAGAAATTTATTCCTGGTGGCAATGAGGCAAGAGAGAGCTAGAAGCTTCTGCACATCTACCCCATTCATGTGAGCTCCAGAGGTTATTTGCCTCGGGAGGTTATTTATTACCTGGTAAAGTTACAGATGTTCCTGGTTTAATTCTTATGAAATAAATATATCATTGTTAGGCCAAGGACTGTGGTCAGATCCCATAGTTACCTCACCTTTTTCCAAAGGTCATTGCATTTCTCATATGGGACATTACAAGTAAAAGTAAAAAAGTATACACATAATCCCCAGCCAGTGTGGCTCAATTGGTTGGGCACTGTCCTATGCACTGAAACATTGCCGGTTCAATTCCTGGTCAGGGCACATGCCCAGGTTGGGGGCTAGATCAGGAGGCAGCTGATTGATGTTTCACCTTCACATCGATGTTTCTCTCTCTCTCCCCCTTCCCCCTTCTTCTCTCTCTAAAACTAAATTAAAAAATCTTTTAAAAAAAGTATATACATGAGATGAATGAAAAGATGGAAGAAAGAAAAATAAAAGAAATAAAATATGTATAATGTTTTTGGCTTTTTAAGTTTGAAAATGTTATATACAGTAGTCCCCCTTATCCACAGGGGGTATGTTCTAAGACCCCCAGTAGATGCCCCAAACCACAAATATTACCAAACCCTATATATACCATGTTTTCTCTTATATGTACATACCTTTGGTAAAGTTTGATTTATAAATTACGCACAAGTAAGAGATTATCGACAACTGCTAATCATAAAATAAAACAATTACAACAATATACTGGAATAAAAATTATGTGCATGTCTTTGGGGCCATTTTAAGTAAAATAAGGGTTACTTGAACACAAGCACGGTGCTACAGCAACAATCGACCTGATAACCAGGATGGCTACACGTGACTAACAGGCGGGACTGAATACAGCCTGAGGACTGGACAAAGGATAACTCAGGTCCCAGGGGGAATGAAGCAGGATGGCCTGAGAGTTCATCACATTACTCAGCACAATGTGCAATTTAAAACTTATGAAATGTTTATATCTGAAATTTTCATTTAATATTTTTGGACCATGGTAACTAAAACCAGAGGAAGTGAAACTATGGGTAAGGGGGGACTACTGTATGCTTATCAGGACATGTGTAGTTGTTGAAGGGCCATCCTCAACTAATGAAGGAGAGAAGTTACTTACTAATATAAAAGGCCTAATTAGAGTTTATAAACACACACACAAAAACCAAAATACATGTTGACATAACTTAGTTAAGGAAAAGAGAACAAATATAGTGCAGGAGAGTTAGTAGTCTTCATCATTTTATTCTGGTCACTAGAGAGACCATTATCTGAAAGAATATTGTTACTATTTTTATATGTTTCTTGAAATTTTTTGGAATAAAGTCAAAGGCAACAACTAAGAAACTTCAGGTGTTAAAAATACAATCAATACGTAACACCAGATGTTGAAGAATACACAAAAGGAAACCCAGTTACAGAGGTAGATGGCATAGACAACGTTTTATTAACAGAGCTATAAATAAGTATATTTAAGGCCTGTTCTCTTTTTAATTAGCTAAATACAGATATTATTAAGGGCTTAAAGATTAATGGTTTCCAAATGCTAATAAAAACAAAAAGCTGGGGTCTGAGCTTTCTTTGTGTAGTTTCCATGTCCAGACTGATGGCAAAGTATGTCTTAATCAAGTAGAAAATGACTAGGGTTCATAAAGGAAAAACCAGCGGTTTTATTCCAGTATCATACAAAATATATCTTAATATATTACATATATGAATGAAAATTATTTATTTTTTTAGATGTGAAAAAGAAAGATGAAGAAACAACACAAGACCAATTGGAAAAGCCCCCAAATGAAGGAAAATGAAGGCTCAGAACCTATCAAAAGTGCTAAATTTCTGCAAGGTGAAAGACTTTAGTGGCTCTGCTTTCCTGAGATGTTTGATCTGGTAGTAACCATGGTAACGTTGCAGCCCTAAGCAACATGTGTGTCCTAGGTAATTTTGTTGTGATGCTACTCACTTGGATTGCAACCATGTAGGTTATTAAAAGGCAGATTACTTCCAAATTGCACCCAAGGAAAAGATTAAGAATGTATGGTCACTTAAATACATATCATTGTCTATAAACCCAACAAAATCCACTGTTCTCTTTTGGATTTATTTAGCCAGATGTGTTTTTAATTCTGTTTTTATAGTAGAGAGTAAAACAATTCTCAGTAACTATAAACCAAATACCATTAATTTAAAATTTTATGGAATGTGTAGGAAATTATGGTGGGGTTTTTTGGCCTTGGTTTTGGTTTTCGTTTGTTTGTTTTGGTAAGAAGAAATAAGTCAAAACCACAGGGATAGAATATTTGTTTTTGACCAATTTTTTTTTTTTTTTGTTCCAAACCCTAAAAAGATTTGGGAGATGTAAAAGCTTGACAGCCTAAACATCTCTAGGATGTTTTTGTCCCATATGCATTGCTTCTATCCTATGCATACTGTGATTTTTCATGTGGACTCTTAAACTGCAAAGTTTGTGACAAATTGTTTATATGTAACATGCCTATTAAATGAATTTTACTATCTTCCTTAACTTTGGTGTGTGTATTGTAGTTATACGTTTTTATTTAATGTGAATTATGTGAACTATCTTATTCGTTGCTTTACACTATCTTTTCTTATTCTTAGGGCTTTTGTGTATATATGACTTGTTTCTAAAATAATTTTCTCAGGAATGCAGACCATAATTTTTATATCTTTCCTAAAGTAGGTAACATAAGAGTAGGTATTTGGTGAATGATGTAGGTAGAAATAGCAAAATACTTGCTTTTAATATATATTTAAGTATATATTTTAAAAGAAGCAAAATCAAAACCAAAGCCTTAGTAAATATTGATGTACTAGGTATTTTAGGAAAATAAAAGAATTCTGAATTTTAAAAAATTTGACTAATGAATTATTTTTATTTTCAGATATATATGCATGCACTTTTACTTTATTTGATTGTAACTTAGGCCATGTCTATATACAGTAATCAAATAAACTCTTTCACTGTTAAATCTTTTACTGACACAAGTCTCCTTCATTTTTGTCTTCTAAAGTATACCAAGTGAAAAGTAACAACACATTTTAAAGGAGGAAGTTAATAGCTTTTGTGATATAAAACAGCCCCTGCTTATTATTTCATTGATGAAGTTTACTTGGATATCTAAAGTACACCAAGGGGGTAGATTTCAAAGAACCTGATTGTTTCAAATTCTCAAATGTAAATTTTTCTTTATAAAATAATCAAAAGTACTATTTTAGGCATAGCACTTATTTAATATTCAATAAGATATATTTAGCCATTAAAAGATATCTCTGAGTTATTTAATAACACATTATTATATAATCATTATAAACATGGGTTAGAGTTAGAGTAGAACAGCAGTTTTCAACCTGGGGAGAGTGGCAATTTTGCCTCCTAAAGGACATCTGGCAATGTCTGGAGACATTTTTGGCTGCCACAAGCAGGGGAGGGATCTGGAGAGAGAAGGCACGACTGGCATCTAGTGGGCAGAGGCCAGGGATGCTGCTACACTGCTGAGCATCCTGCAGTCCTACGGGGCAGGCCCTCATCTGGCCCTGTGCGTCAGCAGGGCTGAGGCTGAGAAACCCTGGAGCACAGTTTAACTGTCAAGCACACGGATTTTGGATTCAGATGATTGGGGTCTGAACTCTAGCTCTGCGGCTCACTACCTGTGTGATTTTGGGCAATTGACACCATATTTCTAAGTCTGAGTTTTATTCTCTTGGAATGGTATTAGTAATAGTACATAATTTATAGGGCTAGTGGAAGTAGGAAAGGAAACAGTACAGCAGGTCCTCAAATAGGGTAAAGTCGTTTTGTTACTGTGTTGATGAGAATGGGGAAAAATCAATTCCCGGCCAGGGCCACAGTCTGCGTGGAGCTGGCACACTCTCCCCATGTCTGCGTGGGTTTTCTCGGGGTACCCCCACTTCCTCCCGCACCCCAAAGGTATAAGTGTTAGGTGAATTGGAGTGTCTGAATTGTCCCAATCTGAGCGAGTGCGGGTGTGTGTGAGTGTGCCCTGAGGTGGGAGGGTGTCCTGTCCGGGGCTGGCTCCCATCTTGTGCCCTGAGCTGCCGAAATGGGCTCCAGGCGCCTGCAGCCCTGAACTAGAACAAACGAGTTAGGAAATAATTCTCTCTTATTTCTATTAATATTTCTTAAGTTTATGTATAGCTCACATTTATTTCAATGTTTACCCTGAGAAGTGCTTCGGGTCTTGATTCAGAAGTTTGGTGATGTTTTTGTCCAGAACTATGCCATAAGAACTTAACTCTTGTTTATATCGATTAGCCTAGGGACTTTGGTGTCATCACAGTTTCTCTTAAAGCTGCAGTTTACAAGAACCTATTGACGACGTTAAGTGAAGATGTACTATATATGTAAAATACTTGACTAATTCCTGGCAAAGAACGATCATTCAGTAAATATTAGCTATCATCACCCTCATTTTTATTCCGGATGCTTTTGCCATTACTCGTTTGTAGTGACAGTGGCAGACAGCAGGATTTGTTCATTTGGCTATCTTTTGCCAAATTCTTGGTGCTAAGAGAAGACACTATGATGGAAATTGACAATTCATGGTAATTTCCACGTTAGTGCCAATTCAATCATGCTAATGAGCTGCTGACATTACCCTTTAACACTGAGTCACTCACTAGTGTTTTATGACAGTTACAGCAGCAAAACAGAATTTTGTGTCAGTATCTAAACGAGTAATTTGTTCCATCAAAATGCAGAAGAAGCAAAATAAGCAACCCATTTCTTGGGTGGCGGTATTACTGGGTGCTGATCTCTCACTTAGCAGACCAGAAAGGAAGCCGTGTTCTACCTCACTGCTAGTGATGACATATGTCCTTAATGCTGTATATGCTAAATCACTTCTTCATCACAACTCACACATAATATATAATACCCATTATATACGTACTTACAAGTATTTTTGTATTACATAAGGTATCAAGTTTGTTGAATATTTGCCAACAGAAGTTTTTTTTCTGAGAAGGAATTTAGACAAAGGAGAACAGAAGATCAATAGTTCAAAGGCAAAGTTGAATTCACCTACTGATTTTTTTAAAAATCAAGCTATTTTGGGGGACTATATGGTATAGTGTTTTAACAAAGCTACTTAGTTGGGGCTCATTAAAGAAAGTCTCCCTGCCCACTTTTGCTATTTTCTTTTTACAAACCTCTTGCTTTAGTTCGTGGCTGTAAAGTCTTAATTAATACTCTGAGATAAACCAAGACAAAAGGGGATGATAAACCAGCTGGCTGGAAACTTGCCTCTGCACAAAGTTCCATGCAGGAGAAAGAACAAAAAGAAACTGTTCTGTGTCACGTGCCGAAAGATATTTTTGTGATCTGGCTGGAAAGATCTGAACGTCCTTAAAATGTGAGTGACTAGACGGGGGGCAAAAGAAAACGGTGCGTTTGCTTCAGTTTTGCTAGCTCGGGTGGCTGGAGCAGCTTGGGCAGGTGACAGAGGGACAGAGAGAAACAAAGCAAGAGTTATCAAAGAGCACGCACCGACCCCTTATCTGAGGAAGCGGACACCTCAAGTTCAAGTTACAGCCTTGCCATTCGCTTTCACGACTTTGGTTATTTTACCCTCTGTGCTTCAACTTCTTCAATGTGCAAACTGGTGAATTACTATGGAAATTAAATAAGTGAACACTGATAAATTGCTAAGGAAAGTGCCTGATACATAGCAAAAGCTATTATCACTGTTATTGCTGTTATTATTAATTTTCTGAGCATAAAGGGTGGTGATGACTTTAAGGTGAGTGTCCTTCATCCACGGATTTTTTTGTGTTATGGCAAAGTAAATTTCCCTTCCATCCCTTTGCTTTCTTTTCTCTCAATGAACAGCAACTCCTTAGCTAAAACTAGGACTGATTAATCAGAGTGGATTTTTCCCCGGAGTTATTGACAACTCTAGGAACAAAAACTTGCAGCTATTTAAAATGGAAGCATTGGCTCAAACAAGGGGCTGAGGGAAGGCACTGTTGCTACCTGTTAAAATCCTAGAAGAGATTTCTCACTGAGCACACGTCGATAGGAATAATTGTATTATTATAGCCATACTTTGCGTGACTGCTGATTCCTCAGCACCCTGGGAGACCCTTTTGAAATTTCATAATAATAATCATACAAAATCCTTGTTAATGTTTCTCATTTTACAGATGAAGGAAATGGATTTAGGGATTGCCTTTGAGAACTCACTCCAGTAAGAAAGCAGCAGCAGTAGCCTGAGACAGGGTTCTCAGGTCCAGACCCGCGCAGATTCCTCTGCCTCAAACCATCACATCCATGAGTCTTATTTTTACTTATTTTTATTGAATTTATTAGGGTAACATTGGTTAATAAAGTTATGTAGATTTCAAGTGTGCAATTCTAAAATGCATCATCTATCCATGGTATTGTGTGTTCTCCACCCGAAGTCAAGTCTCCGTCTATCACCATTTATACCCTTTTCTCCCAGCCCCCAGCGCCTTCCTTCTGATAATCACTTTACTGTTGTCTGTGTCTGTGAGTTTTTTGGTTTTTTTGCTTAATCCCTTCACCTTTTTTACCCAGTCCCGCAACCTGTCTACCCTCTGACAGCTGTCATTCGCTTCTCTGTATCTATGATTCTGCTTTTATTTTGTTTGCTAGTTTATTTTGCTCATTAGATTCCACATATACGTGAAATCGTCTGGTACTTGTCTTTCTCTGACTGGCTCACTTCACTTGTTAAATTTGCCTGGATTCCACTCAGGATTCCTAGGAAAATCGCAAAGTTTTATATAGGCAGGATAGCAGATACGCCATCACAAGGCATTGACACCTTAGCACAGCAATTTCATTTATTTGTTTGGTATTTTTTCATTTATTCACTTTCACTCACTCATATTTTTACCTTATTCCAGAAAAGATTTTCTATGGTGAGCCCAATTTGCCAATAACTTGCCAGACCCTGAAGGAATGGAGAAGTGGTGGGAGCTGTGGACCTTCTGGGTGGGAGGTCGTATGCAGAAGTGTGGCAAGGGGACAAACGCTGAGCTGGGAAGAAGAGACACCACGCTCAAGCAGGACTCGTGGCACATCGGTCTCGGGCCTGTCCGTGGTTGTCAAAAGGGCGCACAGACATTCTGTGGGAGACACAAAACGAATCTGGCGTGAACTAACTGTAAATATCTTAAAAGTAGGGCCACATAGGCAGATGGGATGGTATCTTTTGTTCCATGTAGACATATTACAGAGGCTGAATAATGTTTGGCGGTACCCATTAGCAGAGAAGGACCGAAGTACTAGATGGGGATTGCCTATTCTTCTCAAAGCAAGAAATTAGAAAAAAGTCTTGCCCCACTTTACAGTGTATGAAACTGGCAGCTCTGTGAAGGCTCTCACAGTCATTTAGGTATATCAGACATTCAAATTCTGTTTTATCATAAAAATGTTCACCTAAGTTGAATTTCTATTAGTAGAATGGAACTTTCTTTTTAAATATTTCCTTTATTTGACATTGTTGAGAACAACAGAAAAAATCCAGGGGGCTGTCAGTCAATAAATGTAGATTTTGTTCCAGGATTTTGACCTCAATTGAACCTAACTTGACCTTATGCCTTTGGGTAAATTGTTTCCTCTTTAGTTTTCATTTGCCAGGTTTACTCAAAATTGACACTAGGTGGTGCTGTCATGACACTTACTGACTTCACAAAAGTCAAATTTAATCAGGTTTCCTAAGGTTTCCAATATGTTTTGTTTCATTTTACCAGTTCTGCTGGGTGTGTTGACCAGGGGTATTGTAAAAGCAAAACAAACACAAACTATAGTATTTCAAGCACAATTTTTCTGAGAGGTAGTAGGAAAGGAATTTACTAGAAAGCGAAAGTGTGCTAATCTTTGGCTATTTATTATTTAGGATGCCTTCTGTTCTTAGGTAATAAAAGAGAGTGCTCTAATGAATTTTTAAAATACATTTCATAAGAACGCAAAGGTAGAATGTTAACTT